ATATATATATAATAAGTTTACAAACTTGAAAATGAAAATAAATTTACCCAAGTTAAAAAACTTAGACTAATGGTTATAGTTTTTGCTTTAATTTTTATAAATTTTATAATTATTAAACGCTAAAACTCAAACTAAAAATAAAAAATTAAAACTAACAACTAAAATATAAATTATATTTATTTTTATATTCCTAATAATTATAATAATAAATTGAAACTAAATACTTTTGTTTGGAGTCTAAAATTCATAAAATTTAAAATAAAAAATTCAAAACCACAACAATGTTATGAGATGTAGTTAAATAATTAGTCAAATATGATCATTCTTTACGTACTTGACCAACAAGGGTTCTCATGAGCGTCTTCCGTAGCCTATTATCGCTCTGCTCCGTTACCTTCATCTGCTGCCTCATAATCTCGGCGGACGTCAACGGCCGCCTAGGTCTTGAAGCCGGCAACGTTGAGAAAGCCATGTTACCGCTAAAGCTATGACTGTGGTGGTGATGGTGGACGGGTGATGACGGTGTGGAGCCACCTCCACTACCAACGCAACTCACTGATGACATCCTCCGCGACGGTGACCTCTTTAACATTTTTAACCCCAACGCCCGCTTTACTCGACTGTTTGGAGTCGTCGTCACCACCCCATTGGGCCGAGCGCTTGGTGAACCCGGACTCACTGATGATCCTGACCCACTTCCTCCATCCCCATTACCTATTTATAAAAGGATATATATACAAACCTCAAGCTTGCATGAATTGAAAAGTAAGTAAATTCAAATCCATAATATTTTTTTTTTAAAAAAAATTTCCAACATTTACCGAGGTGATCGTGTGAGGAGTAAAATGTCAAGGCATTCCGGCCTCCGAACCCCGGCGACGACCGACAGGCGGTGAAGAAGATCTCGTACGCCGTTTCCCTGATATCGTCCCGGTCAATAGCATCGAGCTTGCCAAAGGGCCATGCAAGGTCAGTATCGCTAGAAGCTGTGACAGTGGCAGTGGCACCAGGGAGGGGACCGGAGAAGGATTCCCGGTGGGGAAGGTGGGTCATGGTGGAGAAGAAAAAGGGGGTTGGGGGCGGTCAGAAACCGGCGGTAAATGTAAGCAGCTCCGGCAGGAAAGAGTGGGGAGACAAGGTATGCATTTCTGTAAAAGAGAGAGAAAGATTGAATGGTGGGTTTTGTTTGTTAAAGAGAGACAACCTTTTTGCGTAAGAGAAAGAGAGATTATGGTTGATGCATGGAGATGCCAACGTTGTAGTGCGAAGAAAACGAAGAAGATAGGGCTGAGATGAAACACATAATTTTAGCATACGCTATTCCAAGTAATATTTCCCTCTTAATTCTCGTTTTTGGTTATAATTTT